AAATACAGGCAGTTTAGTAGAAAAAAAAGGATCTATATAATATAAGATGTATATGCAACTCAAACCTGTGAGCCTAAAAAATCTCGATGTCCAACTAATTACCTCAGTTTTAAATACATGCAAACCCAACTGAAAACCAGACAGGAGGAAAAAAGAAAAACTAAAACGCACAAATTCAAAAATCTCAGAGCATGTAATTTGATACTTACATAGAAACTTACTTGCTTTATTACATCCTGAAAAATCTCTAGAGGCAGATCATGGATTTAGACACCTCTTGAACCATTAGTGCTGCAGATATTATTGAAAATCTGCTGAAATTATGATTTATTGCATTCACTATTCAAAGGCCAGTATTTTCCCAAGATTACCTCTCTATTGCATTAGCACTGATTTTTGTTCATACAGAAAATAACACAGTATATCAGATAGAGCAGTGTAGTTGGTCTGATGAACTCTGTGTGTTTTTAATGGCAACCACTGAAATTATGTTGTAAGCCTAAATAAAATGATCAAGAGTACATGTAAACATATATGCACACACCTAAATTGTAATACCAAACTTTAGCTTCTCTTTCTCCTCAGCTTCAGCCTGTCCTCAAGGAAAATCAAAGCACAGTGCACAGAAGCCTGACTGTGGACAGTCATTTTACAACAAATTACCTTGGTATTTCATTTATCCAATGTTACTAGCAGAAAGCAAACACTAATATTGAAAAAGAAGAGAAAAATAATATTCCCAGAATCATTTCCACAGCCACAGAGGAAAGCATTATATTTTTGCGACTGTGTTTTGCTCTCAAAAAGAACAGACAAACCAGGGCTGAGGACATCTTGTAAAAAGTCATGATGATTTATAACAAACCATTTTAGAACATATGTTGCACATGCATGGTTAAAACCATTACACAATGTTCTATTTTCCAGCTAACCTCTGCTCAGCTGCTGGCTTCAGAGGAGTAAAATATCATGAAGTGAAGGACAAAAAGGACAAACTCAAATATTAGGCAAGGCACACCTAAACCTACAGAATCACAGATAAAATAAAAGATAAACAGGCACACACTTCCACCCCTCTTACCCACACTCCAAGCAGGGGCTGCAGTGCCCCATGGTTGCTGCAGAAGAACTGGCTAAGCTTAATTAAAGAATGGCACATTTCTAAAGAGGTAAATGTCATGGGGTTTTTATGATGCCCACTGGGTGTTTAAATTTTGTTGAACTGAATGTTGTGGGTAAAGCTTGGCCAGGTTCCGGACCCTACCCAGCCACGCTCTCATCATCCCTATTCCACAAGGAAAGAGGGAAGTAAGATAGAAAAAATCATTGATCAGGGTAAAGACAGAGAGATCACTGACCAATTACCAACATGGGCAAAACAGTGTCAGCAATCTCCAGCTAAAATAGATTTGGATAACGCGGAACAAACTCAAAAAGATTTGACAGCACTGTCACCCTGCCCTTTTCCAGGCTCAGTTTCACTCCTGTGCCTGTCCAGCTGCCTTGTCCCTTCTTAAATACACCTTCAGAGGCACCACTGATTTTGCTGATGGCCTCAGCTGTGGGCTGCAGTGGATCAAATCATTAACAACTCCTTGCCTTCCCTGTCCCTTCCTCTGAAATCTAATCCTATTAGCAATGCTGATGTCAGTTCTTCTGTCTGAATAATGTTCACTATTCACAATTCTAGGGACACTGTGCATTTCCCGTGTCAATGACTGTTTTGCCCAAATTCCTGTAGTGTGGCTCACCTGAGCAGCTGTTACCCATAACCTGAACCATGCATGACTTCCAAACACACTCCTTCTTCTCCTCACTGTTAGAACCTCTGCATAGCAATTCCCTTAAACAACATCACTCTTCAAACCCCAGCTGATACCATAAGATTGTATTTTACAGCTGTTATATTTCGGCATTTTTAAGCTCACAGTATTTCCTATGTTGCCATCTGAACTCTTCATGAAATAATTTCTATTCCCCCTCTGCACAGATAGGGATTCTATTATGAGACACCTTATCTCATGGGCAGGGTTCTTAGTGCTTATCACAATGCCACTTTTCTATTTACATAGTAGGATTGACAAATAGATTCTATCCATATTTTTGTTTACTGAGCCATTTCCTGTGTGGAAACAAATTTGATTTGAAGCAGCTCTGAAGTCTAGTGATGGAGAAATCTAATATGTGTCTGCCATACAAAGGTGGGTGAAAGGAAGTGCAGCAGTCAAAAAGTGAAAATGGAAAAAGAAAAGTAGATGGGGAACGCACTCAACTTTTACACTGCTCTTCTAAACTTTCTTTTCAAGACAATTTTTGTCATGCAAGTCTCTTATTTCCTTATCAAGCTTCTTAATCCTGTATGATTACTTCCTTGAGTTCCACCCCGTGGCTCTATTTCATTTCAAAAGTAGGAACACAGAAGATTTCTAAAAATGAAGCACACTAGTCCTTGGCAGTCAGAATCACAAAGACAGAAATGATGCTCACAAAGGCTCCTGTGATTGTTTCAGGACTGATATGATTTAGGATTGGAAGAGTCTTAAGAACAGAAGAATTAAATTATGAATAGGAGCTGCAGAAACTTTCACATAAGTGCTGTTCACTTTCCCTTCTCAGCATTACTTTTTCCTCTTTGTTAAACAGAGATCAATAAAATTATTCCACTTGTAGGTAGCTGGCATCTCAAACCCATCCTCAAGCTATTTCTATACATTCAAGATGATTCATATGCAGAACTGCAGCATTTAATCTTCATGAAACAGAAAATGTGAGCTGAAACCTCATGAGAACTCCAAAATTCTCTCTGAACTATTACATAAATCCCATTTTAAAATGTTGTCAACTTTGAGAAAAGATCTGTAAATTATACAATTTCCTGAAGACTTTTTTTCTAGGAAAAATCTGAAGCATTCCAGTACTCTGATACCACCAAGAAATTTGTTTTCAGACTAAAAGAACAAGAGAAACAAAGGCAGCAGCATGAAAACCCAAGTTTCCTACCTTTTATTCACCAAGTACAAGACTAGTTTTGGATCACTCATCTTACCAGGAGTTTCCCAGTAAAAGGGAGAATGCTGGTAGGAGCAGCCTCGAGATTGTGATAGTAACAGTTCTTCTGGCAAAGTGTGAAGTACAGATGGTGTCAAAGATATGCCAATAACTTAAGCAGGAGCTTCCAATAAAACCTCTTGTAGTGCTTATTACACTCTGTGAATCAAAGTGAAAGGGGCAGCCTTGGCTCTCTGGCTCCTTTATTCCCCACGTAGGCAGTTTCACTGCTGTACATCCAAGTGCATCCCCCGGGGAAGAGCCTGCACTCCAGATGAATTTGTGTCTGTGCCAGCCATCAGCTACCTCTGAGCAAGTCAATTCATTCTCCAGAGAAGCAAAATCATCATCAGAAACACAGGAATTACTTCCATCTGATCTACCTTCCAGTGACAAAACCATAAAAAAGGGTTTTCTCACGTATCCCTTTGAGCTCTTTCCAGCTCATAATGGCATTCAGTGGTCAAAATATAAATGCTCTTAAACATGATAACCTGCTCCTGCTTATTTAAAACCACAGACAAGCCACACTAAGGCTTCTCCCAGAAACCATCAATACACTTGTGACACCATTGTCCATATTATTAAGCTTCTCTTTCCCAAACTGGAGATTGGAATGCACACTGCAGATGAGATCGTTTGCTGACAGAAAACTAACACATAAGGTTTAAACACTGAAGTGGCATCTTCATGTTGGTGTATCTGTTTTAATTAGCTCTACTTTTCATGTAGGGTAAATAAAACATTAAGGAGTCAGCCAGACAGAGACACCACAAACTGTTTTTCAAATAGCTCCATGAAATGAGCAAGAATAAAGCTTGAAGAGTGTTATATTTACCTCTGTAGCTCCCAGGGCACTTTTAAGAACACTGGGTCAGGTACACTGAGACACTGAGAAACTGTGCAATTTCTTTCCCACTGAGCTGTCAAGGCATTCATGCTGTGAATAGCTAACACCCTTCTTTGACAACCAAGCAAATATTTCTATTTTCTGCCACTCTAGGCATGACGTATCTCCACGTTGCCTCAGTTGATTTAGTGCCAATTCAAGTCAAACTTTAGATGTCTGAGCCAGTAACCGGACAAAATATTCTTGATGAAGCCTTGTCACAAACTCATAGACTGCTGCTTAATACATTTCCAAATAGTTAGATTGCAAAAAGGGCTGTAAAGCTGAAAAAGCTGCAGAGAAGCGGAACACATATTCATTGAACTGCCAGAATGGAGATTTAAGTAGCACATACAAGTCAAATGTGCTGCTGCTTCTATTTATTGTTAACATTGCTTCAGAAAAAAAACCATGTAAAATTATATAAGACCATGTTCTTTGGATCTATGTTGCTCCTTGAAATCCATTCTGTATTTCCCATGTTTCAAAAATACATGTATTTAGAGAAACATAATTAATAACTAAGTCTATCTGGGCAAGGCTAAATGAACACATCCTGTTCTTGTGATTGTAGCATACAGATACCATAAACACTATTTTTTCTTAATACTTAAAAAATATAAGTATATAATTACATTTCACTTGTACCTACTGATCAAAAGTTTTCTTTTCTGATACTGTGAAAGAGGAAGACAGAATTAAGGGAATAATTCTTTCAGTGGGGACAGATCCTGTGGAAATTGCTCCAAAACTACTGCATCCGTACTTCACAGTTTTGAGTTTTGTTCATGGGATAAGAATAAGCAGGTAGCAATAATGGTTCAGTGTGTGAACACTCAAATACAAAACACAATAAACTAATGAGAGTGCAGACTTTGTGCCAAGAGTTTAAAGCACTTTTGAGACTGGATTCCACCCTTTAATCCACGCTGCATTACACAGTGTTTCCTTTCTCAGAGCCTCTGTTTCCAGCAGGATTTGGTTTAGTGTTTTAACTCCCACACTTACAACCTCCAGAGAAATGAAATGCACAAGAAGTGACGAAGCCCTGCCCAGGACTTACCAATACTGGCATAGCCAGGCGTGGATGGATCTCCTCCGCTGTTCAAGGACACCATGAAAGCTTTGTCAGCGAGGTCTGCAGCCTTTGGTAAGTCACAGGGATCCGTGTAAAGGAGAACACCACCAAACCCTGCATCTTCCAGCAGAGAAAGCTGAGGGAAAAAGCAGCACAGGTGACCATTAACAACAGTGTCAGATCACATTGTTATTGTTTTAATTACTGCTGAGATAGAGGCTTTCCCATGCACCACCTTCTCACCACAGATTGCTCTGTACCAAGCTGCACTGCCAAAAGTGCTTGTAGCACCTTAGCAGGTTTTCCCATGATAAAAACACCTCCCTGAAAATGCTTCAGTTTGGGAAATTATGTCACTAAATCTTCTTGAGTTGATCTTCCCTGTTTTCCATGTTATTATCTGTAAGATGTTCTTGCTCAGTTTACCTCTTCAAGGACACAGCACATACTGAATGTTTGCTAGCACTGACATCAGCCTTCTGCAGGATTTCTGAACAGTTACTCTTCAGTTAAGAGAGAAAACAGGAGTTTACAGAATGTTACAAAAGTAAAATTAAATTAAAAACTCTATCTTTTCCAAATGTTTGGATCTGCCTCCTGTCATACAACAGCTTTTATTTTGTCTGATTAGAACATCAAAGCTTGAGTTGGGATTGGCAATTAGAGTTTCCAAAAATCCACAGATCTGGACAGGAATATCAGGAAAACTTCCCCAAAGTCAAGGACAAAAGCATCCAAGTACCATAACCTGCAACAGCTTTTTTGACTGGAAAACCTCAGTTTTTTCTTTCACAGAGAACTGAAAAATAAGGAAATTTTATTCCAAAACGGACAAAATCCAACTGTAATGTGGCAAACACTCCCATGAAATGAGATGACCTTTCTGCATAATGCTCTGCATATTTGGAATATGACTGAAGACTACTCACTGATACAAAGCTATATTAATTTTCCAGACAGAAGTAATTCAGGTATTTAAGGATTATCTTACTACTCACTGAGCTGCTCTACTGATGACTTTCCAAATGTCTCCAAATGGTCTGAAGAATGACAGCAGGTCTATGATGTGTCTACATAACTCTGATTTCACAGGAACCTGAGAACTTTTTATTATGCCTCTGTTTCTCACTTCAGTTGTCCTCCTCCCTCTATATTTTAGAACCTTCATTTTTTTTTCTTGTGTATGTATATAATTTTCAATTTACTTCCTAGCTGCTGGTTTTAAGGAATGTTTATGCACAGTTCTTTGTGGCTTTGCAAGTATGTAAATTACATGAATATATGGCATTCAGTTTGAGCCTCATAAGCATTTGGTGTTCAGTTCTGCTTTACTCGACAGCTAAAACAGAAAAAAAATATAAAAATAGCAGCCTACTATTTGCAATGTTATAAAAATAGCAAACTACTATTTGCCATTTCTGTAAGTAAATATATCTAATATTGTGATTTCTTAAGACCTTGACACTTGTCTGAATTCAGATAAGCAGATGCAAGTTGAATCTGTGAGTCACTTAATCTTACCTATCTTACTCAAACAGGTAATCCACAGATGAAAAGGGATTTTTAGGGAGAACTCTAGTCAGATGAATAGGAGAGTGAGAGAAGGTGATTAGCTCAGATGCTTAAAAATACATTACAGACCTTAAATGTAATGCAGGAATAGGGATTTCCCAAATGTGAGGTTCATTTATTACTGTTTTGTTCTGTTTTCAATTCACATTTGTATTCAGATATTCAGACAGAATTTGATTGCACAAAAAATAGGGTGGGAGAACTAGGGACACATCATAGCTAAACGATGTAACTGGCAGGATTTAAAATAACAATTTTCCTGCTTCCAGTATCTTTTTATTAATCCCTGGTTTATTTAGTAGAACACAAAACTGGAAATACAAATGTTTGGGGTTTTTTTTAAAAGAGAGTTTTAAAAACTTTGTATTTAAAAAAAAAAAAAAATCACTATTAAATCCTCAGTTTCAGTGAGAGAAAGTAACTACAAGTCTCTTAGTCACAAAGTGCAGCAACCACCGCTGCCATGGCTACAATCTCTAGTAAGGAGTTGTGTCACACATGTGAAATTGCAAAACAGCTTCCAGATTTCAGCTATAATAGCTCCTTTTTAACTTTTCAACAGTGACAGCACAACTATATCCACAATAAATGTGAATTGTTGATTCCATTTTCATCTTAAATAAGTCAACACTTAACCAGCCGTAAATTGTCCGAGCACAAAGAAGCCAAAAAGGTTCTGCATGTTTTTTTACAAGGCAGAAAATTGTAGATTAATTCCTTCAGGTAAACCAGTGCACATCTATTCAAATGACTGGATTATTTTAGATTGCAAAACCCTCCAACAGCAAAATCTACTTCTATGAGTTTGATTGTATATGCATTGTCCCTCTTCAAAGCCATAAACATCTCAGAACAAACTGGAAACAACAGAACCCTTGAAAACAGATGCTGGTGCCCGCTGTTAACCCTTTAGTTATTTATGGCTGCTTAAGTCCTCAGTTTTTAGAGTTACCTTAAAAAATGTGACTGTTTCAATTCAGTATATTAAATCACCCCATAAAACATTCTGGACTCAATTTAATCTAGTATGAGACACTTGCTGCTTTATCAAAGGCTCTGTCGTGTACCTGGGGACAGATTAGCCTTGTAAACTCTATACACCACCAGGCACCATTAAATTGCCTTTTAAAGATGATATGGCTGAAGCAGTGAAAAGACAGATTGCAACAGTCTATAGAACTTAGTTTGGCTCCAAGGGGAGAACTCAAAGCAGCTTCTCTGTTTTAAATGCATTTTAAATGCACCATCTCTGAGATATGGCAGAGGAAACATTTACCTTTTGCTCAGACACAACAGAGAGCAGCTCTCTGCTCCCTGGTTCAGACAGGCTTTACTGTGCCACTTTGGCCACAAACCTACTGGCAGGCATTGCATCCAAAATAAGCAAGCTGAGCATGACTATTTGCTGGGGAAAAAAGAAAAGAAGCAACAAGAAACAGGGGCCACTACCTTTCACAGGTGGCTTTAATGTGTTTTAGCTCACCTGAGGCCACCTGAATGAACACTTAATTAATGGTTATATAAATATATTAATGATCTGAACACAGAACAAACCTACCAAAGAGAACAGACTGCAGGTTCTGTGAATCTCCAGCATAATGCAAAAGAGCTGCCCATCAATGGCTGGTGATAAGCAGGGAAGCAATGCAGCAGGCACTGGCCTCAAGCTGTATTTGTTATCTTCCACCTGAGTCTGACTCTCTGAAGATCTTTTCCCCTGGTCTCTTCTTCTCAGCTGAGACCATCCTTGCACCTTGTAAGCACCAAACAGCACAAAACCAAGCAGGTACTCAGCCTTCATTATTTTCCAGGGACTACACTGGACTGGTTTCCTGCTAAGCCCAGAGCCTCAGAAAATTAAGAACATGCACACCGAGGCATGGAGCTGTTCCAGCAGTACCCTGACTTTCCAGCTGAAAATAAAGCGTGACTGAAGCAGCACTACTCTGATGTTCTGTGCATGGGAGCCACATCTGGGGTTGAGTTTAAGCTGTCATTTCATGGGCAGAGAGCAGAAAATCACATCATGCTTTGGTCTCACCTGGATTACAGCAACTACCAATGCAGAGACAGCCAAGAAAAGATTTCCTGCACTGTTCTCTCACTGCATCTGAACAGCTTAGATCCCATTCCTAGAACCTCTGATCCAGCAACACCCTAATGTTTAAAGATAATTAAATAAGCATGGTATCTTTTCCCTCCCTTTTGTTGATTCCCAGCAACAGTTCTGCTTACAAATAATTTAGAAAGTAGCAATGCATGATAAACCAACAAGGGGCATCACAACACAATATATTCCTAGCACTGATGGTTAACAGTGCTTGTGACTGCACCAGGGAAAAAGAAAATAAGATGATGCAAACTGTGGACTATATCAACCTACCAATTGCATATTAAAATAGTTTCTTGTCATTAGCAATTCTTCTCACCATATTTGAAAGTGGTTCAAATATTTGAAAATATGGACAAGCCTTCTGAAAACCCACTGTACATACAGTTCTCCCCTTCATGGTTTTGAGCATCAGTTTGTGCTTCATGAGGTACAACACCAGCCCTATTACTGACAAATATTGCCTAAGTCTTAACTTAGGTGTCCTGATCCACAGAAATGACTGAGCCACTGATTAGTTGGCACAGAAAACTTATTTCACAGGAGGAAATATCTCAGTACATTCCCTGCAAGCTTAATGCAAACAGGATATTGAGCAGACAAGAGGCAGATGCTGTTAATACACTACTGAGAAGGCCATGTGGAGCCTCCTCCATGAAGGAGATTAATAAAAACTGAAATTTTACTCCTTAATGGAAGAGGGAAAAAACATGGAAGAAATCAAGAGACAGAGTGACAGATATAAAGGGATACAGAAACTTGTCCACAGGTTTGACACCACAAAACCCAGCCTCAAGAAAAAGAGCTGTGAAAAACCTGTTCACTAATCCATGGAACAACCTGTTCATTTATTGACTGATACATTATTTAAGATAAAGCAGTTCAGTACAAGATACTTTGGCTTACAATTCTATATAGCAAGTGACTTTGCTTCCAAACAAGTACCACTAACAGCGTCTCTGGAAAACTTGATTTAAAATACAGCAACTTCCAAACACATTCCACCACTAGAGAGAGGTTTTCAAGTCAAATTTTAGTGCTGGGAAAAAAAAAAATATCCAGATCTCTTAATTTTACCACAAGTTCCCACCTGTTACTAGGGTCAATACAAATCCAGTGACATTTTCTTATTTGATCTAATTCTGCTTTCAACTCTATTACATAAGGCTTCAGACTTTCAACCCTAACTTAATAGTAAATAAAACAATACAAATTATCAGCATAACAGTATTTAGGGATTCTCTTCTATCTCATTATGTATCATGTACCATGCTAGTATATTTTAAAAGTCTACATTTCAAAAAGCCCTTTAAGTACACCTTGATGTCTGAAGTTAAAAATGCCTAAAAATGTAGTTCTCATCTTCAGAAGTAATTAATGTGAATGGATTTCACACTATTGAAAGTGTATCCTCGCTCCTGTACACAGATAATCACACTAATAGATAGTATTAG